ACCTCTAAGGGCCCCTGAAGTCTTTCCAGGGGGTGTGTTTCTCTGATACGACTAAGGTCTTGTTTTCCCTCTTCACTGTGTGGCTCTTGGGTCCTGGGGGTAGAACTGCTTGGTGCCTTAGCATCTTCACATCTACAGACTCACAGCAGAAAACAAAAGCATTCCACTAAGAATGTCCTAGATGAAGCAATGAAAAATATGAATTTTACTGAATTGTGACTTTGCGTGTACTCAGAAAAATATTCTTTGTGAAGAAATGGGAAGCTGTATACTAAAGTAACAGTGATTGTTTTGAAAAATAGCACTTCTGTGGTTATATGAGTTTTGAGCTAAGCTAGCTATTAAGCTAGTGTTTTCCCCTATAAAACACTCCTTTTATTTGAAAGAATCACTGACAAACTATGGTTATTTAGACTGGTGTTTAATAGACATTTTCTGAAAAATGAAAGAAGTGTGTCACTTCAAGGAAAACAACTGACGGTATTTGTTGCCAATGAGAAAATTTGAGCTTTGAAGTGAAAATTAGAATTTTGGAAAACCTGTATCTACAATGATGATCTTGATAACATCCTAGTACTTAAAAAGACTTTTCTGATGAGATAGATGATGATAACTTTTTTTGATGTTGTATAGTGAAATGTGTCAACATTTAGATCTACATAACTCAGTGAGTCAGTATTTTTCAAATGACAGGTTTGTAATGCTATAAAATGTATCTGTAAAAGACCCATTCAAAGTAGAAGATAGAACAATGGGTTTTAATGTAATAGAGTATCAAGAATTCATTGATAGTTTCAGATTTCATATCCCAACTAACCTTTACGAAACTACCACTTGTCAAGTTTCAGAGAAAAATATCTACAATTATTTGAAAAGGCTATTAAAATACGCCTTCCTTTTCTGACTACATATCTGTGTGAAGGTAGATTTTCTTCATTTACTTTAGCCAAAACATCACATCACAACTGATTCAGTACAGAAGCGGATATGAGAATCCAGCTGTCTTCTATTAAGCCACTCTCAAGAGACTTACAAAACTGTAAAAACAATACCACTCTTCTTACTAATTTTTTGGGGGGAAAATATAGTTGTTTACATATAACTTAGTTTATAATATAAAATATTTAACTGTATTTTAATATTAAAATTGTTAAAATGTGATGAGCTTATTGTCATTTTAGAATATATTAATACATAGTTTTAAAACCCAGTTTTAGTTTCTAATATGGTAAATACTAATAGATACAACCTACATTATAAATAAAAGCTTTTTGGAATTTCCAGTTATTTTTAAGAGTATAAAGGGTTCCTGATATCAAAATGTTTGAGAAACACTAGAATAAAACAGTCTCCAAGCTACATTGTTAGGAAAAGTGCAGATCAGTATGATTGTAAGTTAGCATTTGTGTGAAAAAGGATATAAATGGGATTCTTATTTTTTTGTATATATGTAAAATTCTTCTGGAAGGTTATAAAGGAATTAAGTGTTGGTTTGTTCAATGCGGAAGGAATGAAAGGTAAATTCTTTACTCTAAACCCTTTTGAACCAATTTGAATTTTAAACCAGATGAATGAATTACTGATTTAAAAAAGAAGAAGAAGAAATTAAAACATTCCTACCAGCTATATTACAAATTTCAGGGAATCTAAGTCTGTTATGAGAAGTTGGAGCATGTTTGGAGTAATGGTTATTTTTCTGGCCAATTGCTTTTTCTTATTTTATTTGAGAAGAAAATGAAGCTTGCTTATTTTAGGGGTAAAAAATTTCATTTAATGTTCAATCCAAATACATTCATGGTGAAATTATGTAAATCAAATAGGTAGCAGTTTCCACAGTGGGACCCGAAGTACACTGAGCTTAAGTTTTAAGGAGGAACAGTTCGATTAGTTTTGTTACTAACAGGTATTTCTAGGTTTCTAGTAAAGAGCATGGATTTATTTTAGAAGACTATTATAATTTGTAGTCTGTCATTTAAGAGGTTTTGAATAAGTGCTGCATGTAATGTGGAAGTAAAAAAGCTAAGTAAACGTTCTGACATTTGATTCAGTACAAAAAGTACTTTTTAATACTCATAACCTTTGTGGCTTTGGGAAGTCTTGAAAAGAATAACTAAGGAATTCAATTTTAGTTATTCTGTCTGCTATGAAGTGTGGCTTTTGATCAATGTTCATACTTTTAACTTTTAGATAGATAAAGTATCCTTTTATGAAAAAGGAAAATTATTTTAATGCAAAAACTCTTCAGATTTTCTTTTTTCATATCATACTTCTAAATTTATTTCTTTGAATATTGAAATATCATTTCCAGAGTTCTTCGAAGCAGTTTAGAGAAAGATATTACATGTGATTCTGTTCGTTATAGTGAAAAGTCTGCCCATAATGTGGAACTGTTTTCCCCAATTTTTTTAGTTAACAAAGAATGCCTTTAATAATGTTAATAGGTTTTTCTGAAGTATTAAACAAATAGGTAGTTAATTCATAAAGGAGTTTACTCTTGCTACTTGCATGTGCATGTGTAATAGTTGACATTTTTCTAAGCACACGTTATTTTCTTTGATTCTCAGCACATCTTGGAAATAGCACAATTAGTGTTTTTATATGTATGGAAATTGAAATTCAGAGGGCTAAATGAATTGTCATATAACCTTGTTAAATGATAAAATAGCAATTTAGATTTAAGCAAGGCTAGATTAGATTTAGATTTAAACAACTTTAGATTTAAGCAAGACTGTCCTAAGTACAAAAAAAAAGCACTTATCTATACCTACTATGCTCGGGTTCTGTGGTCTGCACTAGAGATGTAAAGATAAGACACAGATCTTGCCCTCTAGGGGCTGAAAGTTTAGTGACAGAGACTACCCAGTGGAGAAGTGAGTAAGTGTGGTGGTGCCCTGTTGAAGGGCCGTATATCTCAGTTTTGAGGAAGTGAAACAGATCTTGAAGGATGAGTAGGAGAAGTTAGCCAGGGTGAGTATGGTTGAGGGTGGTGATAAAAGGCGTCAGGTAGAAGATACAGTGAAGGAGGCCTAAGCAGCATACGGACATTGTTTGGGAACTGTTAGTAGTTCCATGTGATGACTGTGTTGGGCTACACGGGAGAATGAGCAGGATGTGAAAGCAGAGAGGTAGATAGTGGCCTAAACTGGAAGTCTGAACTTTCTTCTAAAAGTTTCAGGGTGCTAAAAATTGATTATAAATAGTTGGAAGGACTGAGTTTGAACAGGGTTAGAGTCTTAATTCTTGGGCTTATTAGCTGTAGGACTGTAATCAGTTGACCAAATATTTCTGAGCCCCAGTTGCCTCAGATGTTAAATGGAAATAATGTTCAATTTATTGCAGTAGGAGGACTAAGAAAAATAAATGTTTTTTAAAAAAAAGCACCAAGTGTGCACCAAACCTGTATGTAAGAACTCAGTAATGAAAGATGAATTAAAAGTAAGGACAGCTCACTGCACATATCTAAGCTTCTAAGTAGAACTGATAAAAATGAATTAAATTTTACTTTAAAACATTATTGGACTATTTGGACATTTCTAAGACAGCTTAGCTGAAATGGTTTTATAATTTCAATGTTTAAATATAATATTTAGGAGTCTTTCAACGTGGTGTTTCTTTATATACTTGTTTGAAAGCCAGACTTTGTGTATATGATGTGGTTGTCAGATGATGAGGCTGTCATGAGATAGCCCTTGTGTAGAATCAGTTTTGTTTGTGTGATGTTTTGTGCCATGCCCATTCCCCCAACTCCCTGGCCCAGGAATGAATTCATAGCTGGAAGACCTGGATCTGTCATTCTAATTTTAGGCAAATCCTTGCCCATTTGTGTGTTTCTTCAACATTAAAATGGTATTTAATTAATTTAGCTTTAGGGAATAAAATGAAATAGTACATGGATACGTTTTTGTAAAACACAGTATCTTAGTCTGCTTGGGCTGCCATAACAAAATACTACAGACTGAGTGGTTTAAACAACGGATATTTATTTCTCACCATTCTGGAGGCTGGGAAGTCCAAGATTAAGGTGTCAGCTGATTTGGTTCCTGATGAGAGCTCTCTTCCTGGCTTGTAGACAGCCATCCTCTTGCAGTGTGCTCACATGGCCTTTCCTCTGAGTGTGCTTTGGGGGAGGGGAGGGAGAGGAAGGGGAAAAGAATGAGCCCCTTGGTGTCTTTTCTCGTAAGGACACTAATCCTGTAGGATAAGGGCTCTGCTCTTATGACCTCATTTAGCCTTAATTACTTCCTTACTCTAAATAGAGCTGCACTGGTTAGGGTTTTAACATAGGGATTTGTGTGTGGGGACACACACACTCACATTCATTCCACAACGTGCAGTTAAATTGGAAGTGTTCTCTTTTGATGGCCTTATGACATGGTATTTGGTAACAATGAGTTAAATGCCAGTCATGTATTATATTTATTTTAACTGCTCTCCAGAGCTGCAGATGTATATGGACCATTTGAGTCCTGCTTTCTAGCCAATAGGTTTATAATTGGCTAGCTACAGGAGTGGTAGAACCAAGTTAGTATCAACTTAGAATATTACTGTGCCTAAGGTAATTCTAACATGTCAACAGCCATTCTCATAGTATATTAAGCCTATATCACTTCCTTGAATTTCCCCCCCTATTGCAAGCCCAAATATAGTTTGATTCCCATAGTAAATGTCTATAGTTTAGTGGTGATTTAAAAAATCATATCATTTATCTTAAGTGTAAATTCACCCTTTTACTTGTTAACAGAGTAAAGCCTTTTAACTGACATGGGAAGGTTACACACATTTTAAAGGCAGCTAAATCAAACCTCAGTTTTGCATAGCAGATATTGGAATAGAGATAGAAATCTTAACTAAACTTCAGGATACAAGCCTCCTCTTTTTCTTTATTGTGAATTTCAGTGTGAACTTTGATTGAGTTCTAAGTCTGTTTGCATTTTAGATTGTGCCGGAAGATCTTTACACCTGGTTTCCTGGAATGATCACATTTATGTTCTTTTTCACAGGCCAGCCCTCCAGATCTCTATATTGAAAGATTTAATATAGCTCTTGGACAGTATATGGGAGCATTGCAGAGCATTGTGCCTCTTTTCATATATATGGTAAGTTAGAGCTGTTTCCCCTTTCCAAATACCTCTGTTTATTGGTCTAAGTGCAGATAGATGCAGAAAGTTAAGCATATTCTATTACTATGTATTATGTTAGAAATGGAAATTAATCTATTTCAGCAATGTTCATAGTGTTGGCATAGAAGACTTATTTAGCCTTTCACTGTTTAAAAATTTCATAAATACCATTGCTGAAACAGACAGTTAGGCATTAATAATCAGCAGTCACCCAATTAACATTTTGTTTCTGCCATATGGAAGATACTGTGCTTGGAAAATAAAGATATATCAGAAAGATTTCTTACCTTCAGAAAATAGAGAGTTAAGACATGTATCTACAAACATGATGTATAATAAATGCCAAGGAAGTAACTCCATAAAAAGTAGAACAGTAAAGTTTGCTTTCATTCTGTTAATCTCTTTCACTTGGAAAATTATGCCATGAGTACGTCTTGTAGTCTGTTGACTTTGTTGAAGTGTCCCCGCCCTGTCCCCCACCCCCCCACCCCCGCCTTTTAAATATATAAGCTATAGGATCTTAATGTTAGTGTTCCTGTTGAACAGGAAGAGCCCTTAGAAACCATTGTCCCACTTTCTCTTTGTTGATTAGATTAGGGAATGGTTGTTTAGGTTGATCCTACAACCTAAACCTAGAGAATGGGTTGTAGCCTAGAGATAAACTATGTGTGTAATACCAATCTTCAAAATGATTTATTCTCCATAAGATATGCTTTACTGAAAAAAACAGAACATTGGGAGGAATTTGTGTCATCAGTGAGAGACTACTATTTAAATAATTTATGGAGGATATTTACCGTAGAAAAATACGCAGTTAAAAATAATGACATGTCAAAAACCCTGCAGAAAGTAGGCATAGAGGGAACTTTCCTCAACATAATAAAGGCCATATATGACAAACCCACAGCCAACATCGTCCTCAGTCGTGAAAAACTGAAAGCATTTCCACTAAGATCAGGAACAAGACAAGGTTGCCCACTCTCACCACTCTTATTCAACATAGTTTTGGAAGTTTTAGCCACAGCAGTCAGAGAAGAAAAGGAAATAAAAGGAATCCAAATCGGAAAAGAAAAAGTAAAGCTGTCACTGTTTGCAGATGACATGATACTATACATAGAGAATCCTAAAGATGCTACCAGAAAACTACTAGAGCTAATCAATGAATCTGGTAAAGTAGCAGGATACAAAATTAATGCACAGAAATCTCTGGCATTCCTATACACTAATGATGAAAAATCTGAAAGTGAAATCAAGAAAACACTCCCATTTACCATTGCAACAAAAACAATAAAATATCTAGGAATAAACCTACCTAAGGAGACAAAAGACCTGTATGCAGAAAATTATAAGACACTGATGAAAGAAATTAAAGATGATACAAATAGATGGAGAGATATACCATGTTCTTGGGTAGGAAGAATCAACATTGTGAAAATGACTCTACTACCCAAAGCAATCTACATATTCAATGCAATCCCTATCAAACTACCACTGACGTTTTTCACAGAACTAGAACAAAAAAATTCACAATTTGTATGGAAACACAAAAGACCCCGAATAGCCAAAAGAATCTTGAGAACGAAAAATGGAGCTGGAGGAATCAGGCTCCCTGACTTCAGACTATACTACAAAGCTACAGTAATCAAGACGGTATGGTACTGGCACAGAAAGAGAAAGATCAGTGGAACAGGATAGAAAGCCCAGAGATAAACCCACGCACATATGATCACCTTATCTTTGATAAAGGAGGCAGGAATGTACAGTGGAGAAAGGACAGCCTCCTCAATAAGTGCTGCTGGGAAAACTGGACAGGTACATGTAAAAGTATGAGATTAGATCACTCCCTAACACCATACACAAAAATAGGCTCAAAATGGATTAAAGAACTAAATGTGAGGCCAGAAACTATCAAACTCTTGGAGGAAAACATAGGCAGAACACTCTGTGACATAAATCACAGCAAGATCCTTTTTGACCCACCTCCTAGAGAAATGGAAATAAAAACAAAAATAAACAAATGGGACCTAATGAAACTTCAAAACTTTTGCACAGCAAAGGAAACCACAAACAAGACCAAAAGACAACCCTCAGAATGGGAGAAAATATTTGCAAATGAAGCAACCGACAAAGGATTAATCTCCAAAATTTATAAGCAGCTCATGCAGCTCAATAACAAAAAAACAAACAACCCAATCCAAAAATGGGCAAAAGACCTAAATAGACATTTCTCCAAAGAAGATATACAGACTGCCAACAAACACATGAAAGAATGCTCAACTTCATTAATCATTAGAGAAATGCAAATCAAAACTACAATGAGATATCATCTCACACCAGTCAGAATGGCCATCCTCAAAAAATCTAGAAACAATAAATGCTGGAGAGGGTGTGGAGAAAAGGGAACCCTCTTGCACTGCTGGTGGGAATGTGAATTGGTACAGCCACTATGGAGAACAGTATGGAGGTTCCTTAAAAAACTACAAATGGAACTACCATATGACCCAGCAATCCCACTACTGGGCATATACCCTGGGAAAACCATAATTCAAAAAGAGTCAGGTACCAAAATGTTCATTGCAGCTCTATTTACAGTAGCCCGGAGATGGAAACAACCTAAGTGTCCATCATCGGATGAATGGATAAAGAAGATGTGGCACATATATACAATGGAGTATTATTCAGCCATAAAAAGAAACGAAATTGAGCTATTTGTAATGAGGTGGATAGACCTAGAATCTGTCATACAGAGTGAAGCAAGTAAGAAAGAGAAAGACAAATACCATATGCTAACACACATATATATAGAATTTAAGAGAGAAAAAAAAATGTCATGAAGAACCTAGGGGTAAGACAGGAATAAAGACACAGACCTACTGGAGAATGGACTTGAGGATATGGGGAGGGGCAAGGGTGAGCTGTGACAAAGTGAGAGAGTGGCATGGACATATATACACTACCAAATGTAAAATAGATAGCTAGTGGGAAGCAGCCACATAGCACAGGGAGATCAGCTCGGTGCTTTGTGACCACCTAGAGGGGTGGGATAGGGAGGGTGGGAGGGAGGGAGACGCAAGAGGGAAGAGATATGGGAACATATGTATATGTATAACTGATTCACTTTGTTATAAAGCAGAAACTAACACACCATTAAATAAATAAATAAATAAATCCACTCATGCTGCAAAAAAATAATAATGACATGTCTGTATGTTATTTTAGCGAGAATCTTTTCAACATACAATGTTAGGTGAAAAAGCAAGATGTAAAACAGTGTGTGTTATAGTTCATTAGCAAGTGTTTTCTTCTTCATTTTAGAGGAGAAAAAAGCATATCCAAAAAAATGTAAGAATATTTTAGAAAGAATATACAAAAGTTTTCGCAGTGCAGGATGGGGCCTTTGGGAATGCGACAGAAGGTCTGCTTGGGAGACTCCTTTTTATTGCATACCCTTTTGCGTGGTTTTATTTTGTAATTATGTGCATGTTTTATATATATATATATATATATATATTTGGCTGCATTGGGTCTTCATTGCTGCACGTGGACTTTCTCTAGTTGCCGCGAGAGGGGGCTACTCTTCTTTGTGGTGCGTGGGCTTCTCATTGCAGTGGCTTCTCTTGTTGTGGAGCACGTGCTGTAGGCACGTGGGCTTCAGTATTTGCAGCACGTGGGCTCAGTAGTTGCAGCACATGGGCTCTAGGGCGCGGGCTCAGTAGTTGTGATTCATGGGCTTAGTTGCTCTACGGCTGTGGGATCTTCCCAGACCACGAAATGAACCTGTGTCCCCTGCATTGGCAGGCAGATTCTTAACCACTGCACCACCAGGGAAGTCCCTTATGATTTTTTTAGAGAGAAAAAAACATGTTAAGAATTGAGAGAATCAGTGAACCAACTTATTGACATTCATTCCTCTTTGTATTTTCCACTCCTGTGCATTGAGTTAATATTTAAACATGAACAAATTCAATCTTTTTTACTTGCCAATCATTCTAATTAGGATACTTTTGGCTGCAAGAAACAGAAAACCTGATTCAAAGTGATTTGTAAATGAGAAAGGTATTATCTCTTGTAATAAAACTCCAGAAATAACGGCAGTTTCTGGGTTGGTTGAATCTGTGGTTCAACAGTGTTACCAAGGTCTCAGCTTGTTTTTTGTCTCTTTGCTTTACACATCTGTTTCATCTTGTTCTCCTCATGGTTGTAAGATGATTTTTACTCAAGCCTAGGTTTCCGTTAGTCTGATTGGGTTACCTTGGATCACTTGTCTACCTTTGAACCAAAGACCATCCATCCCTAAGGAATGCCATAAGCTGAATGACTTAGACTAATCATTAAAGTGAAATGTAGGGGAGTCAACCAGTGCATGCCCACTGCATGCTTTCAGCCTAGATCATTGATAAATAGGGTACCTTTCACTAGTGTTTCCTGCTGTTGCCTTTAGCTGATGATGTAGTCATTTAAAAGGGCATATTAAGTGCCTGTCATACAATATGGTCCATTGAATCCCTGTCTAGTTCATGTTGAGTATCTTCCCATGTTCTTTTGTATGATTTATAGCATTTTATCTTTATGTGCTTTTAACCCCATGCTAGGAAGACTATAACTAATAGTGGCAGGGCTTTTGTTTTCTGATGTTGGGTTTTTATGTTTTAATTGATGCCTTTATGAATTGTTTCCTAAAACAATTTATTTTTTAGTGCTTCAGTTCATTAGACTAATCATTTCTCTCTAATTGATGCACTGAAAAATAACTTATTTTCTTTTTCAGAATAAGTTTTACATCGAAACCAAGCTTAACAGAGACTTAAAAGATGACCTTATAAAGCTGTTTACGGAACATGTTGCAGAAAAGCACATTTACAGCCTAATGCGTAAGTAATTAATCTTACGGGGATGACATAACAGTAGCAGTGTTTTGGGGTTTTTTTTTTGAATCAAAGAGCATTGGCATCTAAACCCCAATGTTGATGTCTTCTGAATCTTGTAGTGATCATAAAGCCCAATTCTATACAGAGAGACACTGAGGAATTGAAAATGTGACATGAAGATCACCCAGTGAGCTGGGAGCAGCCAGGTCATTGGACAGTGCCTTCATATCTGGCATGATACTTGCTGCCTTTTTTTTTCTCTGACATTGGGGGAAATATTAAGGAGTTCACCTGTAACTTTGTTACTGGTAATTCTAGAAGGAGTGTAATGTTAATATCTTTGAAATGGTAGCACAGTATCCTCTCAGTTTACTTATTTGTACTAAAAAAAAAGGTAGATGACAGTTAAGCTTGTGAGAAAGTAAATCCTAAGTTAAATAAAGCATATGAGAATTAAACATATGTAAAGTACCTAGCACCTGTTAAATGCTCAATAAGTATTTTCTTCCCTCTCTCAAGCTACTTCTCCCTCAAATTCCCATTTTCTTTTCCTTAAAAGGGGAGTTCAACTGGAAAATTTTACTTTTAAAGACTTTTCCTACAATGAATTTTAAGTGGAGAGGATTTTAGTGAAATGTTATACCTTCTTAACCTTACCTTTTGTTACTGAATGTGATTATTTTTCAGTTAATTCATCCCAAATTAATTTATGTACATTTTACGTATAACTTAACCTGTGAATTTATCATTTCCTTATAGCTATCAAATTTGACATAGGTGGTTATAGTTATGTAGAAGTTGTTTGCAAATGTATATATTTGACCACATAATGAATGTGTGATTGAACATAAAGAGTTAGTGGAAACAACACTTACTGAAAACCAAACGATCGGTCAAAAAGTAGGAGGAAGATGGATTAATAGAGATAGGGTTTGGGCTACGTGTTGAAATTAGAGAGAACCTTGAGTAGAATAGCCTCTAAGAACCTAAAATTTAGAATTTCAATTTTTAAACATGACATTTTAAAATATGATTTTTCTGCAATGCCTAGCATTGCAAATGTAATTCACGTTGCATGTTTGAAACTACAGAAATCATTGTTGGCCAAGTGAGATGGTGTTTCCATTTTTTAAAAGGTGGGGATAGAAGAAAACAACTTATATAATTTTACAAGCTGGCTTAGATGAAAATTATGCCAAGTTTCATGGGTATTTGGTTAGTAAATTACAGGTCTTTGAGAGATGAATTAAAAATGAGCCGTTTTGAGTCAGTAGTATCTGTCATATTCATTAAATGATGGAGTTCGTTTATATATGTTTTGTCTAGAGGAAGTATTTGTATCCATTTAACATATTTTAATAATATTTTTGTGTGACCATAGATAACCTAAAAGAAAACTGACTCTGTTGTCATGTTTAGTCAGGGTCACATGGTTAGACAGTGTGATCTCTTGCCTTTACCTTTAGTAAGAAAAAGTACCTGCAGTTGTAGCATTTGGGAAAGTGAGTTTCTGACTCTGATCTCAGTTACTAGAATTACTAATAACATGTCTTTCAGAAAAATTCCAAGAGCCTCATATATGGGTGATTTGGGGGAAAGGGAAATGATTGAGGGAGTTAGAGAATATTTCATTCCCCAAATGTAAATCTTTTGAATCGTGAAGTTAATGGGAAGTATTTATAGCTCACTCACTAAGTACCATGAATACTGTTGCTTTTAGAAAGCTTTACTTACTTTCAGAACCTCCATCAGTTGAATCATTTCCGTTCGTGTTTCAATAGATACGCACATATCTACTTGTTAGATTGAGCTCTACTGCACTGGATTAAAAAAAAATCTTTAGTGTACAACTACTTGGTTTGCCCTCTTGGGCTGTTCTTTTCTTGCCCTTGTTTACCCTTCAGTCTTTGGGAGAAATAGTGATAGAAAGTGAAACCTTGACAATCAATAAAGTGTTGTATCATTTTTGTAACCCATTTCCTCTCTATTTCAGCTTTACTTTTAGAAGCCCAGTCAACACCATTTCAGGTCACACCTTCAACTATGGCAAATATTGTGAAAGGCCTGTATACTCTCAGACCAGGTAAACATTCATCATTTCTTTAGGGGTTGGACTTGTTTGTTTGTTTATGGCACTTCCAGCCCTATCTGTCAGAGGATAGTGTTTCTATGTGTTTTCTGAGGTCTAATGGTGTTTGGATTTGTTATAGCAAAAAAATGGAGTATATACTCATCATTGTGAAATGTAAACTCAGGACCTCACTTGGAAATCTTTCTATGCTAGTGAAAACCAACTAGTTTGGGGAATACAAAAATAGTTTGTAGGAGACACTTTAGATAAAGTCGAATCTTATGTCTGGCATTAATCTCTTTTGTTGTTGTGAGGTTCTTCTTCACTTCTACCCCACATTGCAAATATGCACGGGCGTACACATTCACAACTCCATCTTGTTAGGCCTATTATATAACTTACAAGGAATCTAGAAGTGTTGGTAAAGTTACAGTCATTTCATAAGGATAGTTTGAGGAGAAAGATAGTCAGAATAGCAGAACCAAAAATCAAAGATCACTGTATTCAAAGGCATGGTTTGTAAATTATCTTAATGTATCTGTCTTATAATAAAAACATTGTGGGACTTCCCTGGTGGTGCAATGGTTGGGAATCCGCCTGCCAGTGCAGGGGACACGGGTTTGAGCCCTGGTCCGGGAAGATTCCACATGCTGCAGAGCAACTGGGCCCTTGTGCCACAACTACTGAGCCTGCGTTCTAGAGCCTGCGAGCCACAGCTACTGAGCCCTCATGCCGCAATTACTGAAGCCCATGCACCTAGAGCCTGTGCTCCGCAACAAGAGAGGCCACCGCAATGAGAAGCCCGCTCACTGCAATGAAGAGTAGCCCCTGCTCGATGCAACTAGAGAAAAGCCCGCACACAGCAGTGAAGACCCAACGCAGCCAAAAATAAATAAATTTAAAAAAAAAAAAACCCATTGTGAATTTAAAGGACTCTCAAGATGCTTTTGTATGTATCTTTCTGTTTTTAACCCAGAGCCTCAAACTTAGCATAGTTGTCTAGCCAATTAAAAAATGTCCGTAGGAGAGAGATTGCAGAAGTTCAGGGTAGAAAATCATTTTTCAGTGTAGAAACTTAAGGTTTGCTTTTTTGACAGCAATTATCTTTTTATGAAATTCTTTTGTCATTTGAGGATTGAATGAAATAAAACGTGATCTAAAGAGCTTAACATAGTACCTGATAATGTAATGAGCATGCTAATATTAACTGTTGTTACTACTATTCAGTTGGGTCCAGTGGTTATTTTATTTTAATTAATTGATGTCTGAATAGTTTACTTACTTAATTTAAAAGATATATCAGAATTTAGCTTGCTAAAATGGAAACCAGTTTAAAACTGATACTAGGGGTAGACTGTGATACCCAGAAGTACCGTCTTTCTCAGGCTACTTTCAGCAGTTAGTGACTTCTAGAGTAGTCAAATGTAATGTTACTTAAATTTGGATCAGTTCTTGCTCTGTTCTTCATAATTTTTAGACAAATTATTCCTATAATTATTTATATAAAGTAGCAAAAGTGTTGCATGTGTCCAATAAACTGATATATTTCTTTTTCCAGTTTCTTAGAATTTTGAATTTCATTTTACTAAATGTGATGAAAATAGCTCATGAGTTTTTCTTTTAGTGCTGGCTTATGAATGATTTTTTTCTTTTGGAAGACATCCAAATACAGTATGACAGATTTCTAAATTCTCCCTCCCAAGTGGGCAGCTTTATCAGCTCTGGCTTTTATCATAAGTAACAAAATTACAGAATAAAACTAGTCATTAAGGGGAGAAAAACTTATAGATGCTTCTTTATCTAAATGCTATTTTTATCCAGGTTTGAGCTCTTGTAATAGGTTTCATACTACTTGTGAGGAGAATTCTGTATTTGAGAACTGTCCTTTTGAAAAGGTGAATTTTATCACAGACTAACCTTTTGCTGTCCTAGCTGTTTTCTGAGATACTATTAAACATACTTTGACGTTTACTTGTCTTGCCCGGGCCCAAAGCAGATTTATTCACCTGACAGATTATGGTTAAACTATTTTAAAAGTTGAATTTTGAATGTAAAAGTTTCTTTCATTGCAGTAGTTCTTAAGTGCTGATTTTTATATAATGAATGCATCTGAATCACCCAAAAAAGTTTGTTAAACTGTAGATTCCTGGGCCCTAATCCTTGGAGATTCTGATAACATCTATTATTTACATGTGTTTCTACCTAGTGTTTAGAAGCTCAGTCTAGGAATAGTTCCCATCATCCCATGCTGCACTTCTTCATTTAATACATGCACTTTTCATTGTTTCTTTATCTTTATTTTATGCCTGGTGTTCCATAAAATGTCAAACTGGTTTGACTCCTTGCCAACTCTGACTGATGGGTTAGTGGTTCCCCAGGGCACTGAGTTGAGACTCTTTCTAAAGCCATATTTGAACTGAGCTTGAAGGAGGGACACTATTGAGAACATTTTGACATGAATTTGTACAAAGCGTGAGTGGATTGGCCTTGGTGGTGTTTGTGGTGGTGGTTTTTTTTTTTTCCCCCATCTCTAATTTAGCTATTCTTTTGGGCATTTTTTTTTTTAACTTGCCAATGACCCAGCATTGCATAGCATTAAATGTGTTTTTTTCAGATTTAGAATTATTTACTTAGATTACAGTTTTTAAAATGAGCATGCTGGATTAAATAGAGCATTGACATTTTATGGGTTTTATTTATGGGTTTTATATATATACAGCCAAGATGTTTCCAAAAGATAAAATTTGAAAGGGCTCGATTAAAAGAATCCAAAAGGACATAGAGATGGGCAGTATTTATATTTAGTGCTCACTGAGTAGGGGAAGAGTATCTGATCTGTTAAAACGCTTTATAATAAAGATACGAATTTATCTTTGTCATGTCCGATGCACATATTTTCCTTAGACTTCTCTTTGTCTTTTTATTTTGATGAATAAATGTTTATTTTTCTGTAGGTTATTCTGTTGATCTTTTATCTTTTCCTTAATAATTTGATAACCATTTAATTCTGTTTTCTTTCACTGTTATATATGTTTAATTTGCTGTAATTTAATGTGAGTCAAAGTAGGTTTATATTTTAAAAGTACTTACCAGTTATCTCTCCCATCTCCCTCTGCATTTTTGAGGTACTTTTTTTATATGTCTGCTTACTACCACATGTACTATTCTATTTTTAGGCCAGTGTATTGTTTTAATTAATGCTTTATAGGGCTAAGTATTTCCACCAAATCCCTTCCCTCCAAGTCCCCTCCTGCTCAGAATTCTTTGGTTATTTCATTCATGTTTTCTTCCATATTTAGAATTTTTGCTAAGTTTCCTTCAAAAATTCTCTAGGGCTTTTTGTTAATGTTGTTAAATCATAAAAAATATAAAAATATCCACTTTCTGTAAATTCTATTTAGAAAGGAAACTTAACCTCTTTATCAGAAGGGGTTGCACTAGTTTTTTTCCCCATTTTAAGTTTGGTTTAATACATAATCTTGTTCTTTGGGAAGAAAACTTTCCCTTTTCTACTTAATGTAATTTGTCTATACGATCTCCTTAATGAATCTTTTCCTTCCCTCACAGAGTGGGTTCAGATGGCTCCGACTCTATTTTCTAAATTTATTCCAAACATTCTCCCTCGTGCAGTGGAGTCTGAACTTTCTGAATATGCTGCTCAAGATCAGAAACTTCAAAGAGAACTTATACAGAATGGTTTTACAAGGCAAGTTTTCTTTTCCTTTTGTGACAAAGTATGTCCATTTCCTTTGGCTTGGCAGGGGAGGGATGCCAGCGTTCTTAGAATGGGAGATGGCTGTGCGAGAGTCAAGGTGGTGTTGCTGGGAGAGGTGGTGAGCTCCCTCTGTGGAAGTGCTGAAGCTGGGTTTTGATTTTATGGGAGCTGCTTCACTTAAGTGGAGTTTGAAGAAGGGATTTCTCATTGGGTGGGCAGTTAGGCTGGACAGCCTCCAAAGAGCTCTTCCAACTTTGATCTGCTTATACTAGTTTTGAATATTTGGAAAAACCTTGTAGAAATTTTATGATCAGTTATAATGTACATTTATGACTAAACTAGCAAATGATTTTATGACTAAACTAACAAATGATATTGTAACTAAACTGGTAAAGAGCCTTCAGATTCTGTTTTTCATATTTCCATTTTCCCCCTAAATTCTAGTTGTTTCTTCTTAAAAAGTAGGTTATCACTTAAATGTGTCCACAAAATTTGCCTCCCTCGATTTTTTATTTTTTAAAAAATTTTCTCCTGTTTATTTTTTATTTTTGGCTGCGTTGGGTCTTTGTTGCTGCGTGCAGGCTTTCTCTAGTTGTAGCAAGCGGGGGCTACTCTTTGTTGCGGAGTGCGGGCTTCTCATTGCAGTGGCTTCTCTTGTTGCGGAGCATGGGCTCTAGGCGCGCAGGCTTCAGTAGTTGTAGCATGTGGGCTCAGTATTTGTGGCGCACGGGCTTAGTTGCTCTACGGTATGTGAGATCTTCCTGGATCAGGGATCGAACCCATGTCCCCTGCATTGGCAGGCGGATTCTTAACCACTGTGCCACCAGGGAAGTCCAGCCTCCCTTGATTTTGCTATAAACACTTTGCTAATTTTTCTAAAATTTGCAATTCAGTATCACGGCTTTATCAAAGTGCATATTTTCAACCAAAATTATGTAAAAATTTTGTGATTCCCTATGGGAAAGCACCCTGTTGTGTCACCAAATCATTAAAGGGTACAGTAGTACTTTTTTTTGTTTGTTTATTTTTGTTTTTTTAATATCTTTATTGGAATAAGTAGTACTTTATAGTTTCATAATCCTGGCCCTCTCCTTAGCACTTTTACATATCTTCTCTTATTTGAATCCCTCGCCATTAAAGGAAGAAAGTTGTAGAAAGGAAGACACCTGGGTTCCTCACTGAGGCATAGTTGTGACCACAAGGAGTAGGTTGGGTATTGACTCACTTATCTGGCTGGGGCAGAGGGTGGACACTGTCTTTCATAGACTCTGAGGCCATGCTCATTCTCAGAATACCA